TCAGCCCTCCCACCAATCAGGCTCCTCTTGTGTAATTGCTGTCCCCAGGCTCCTCTTGTGTAATTGCTGTCCCCATGGGCTCCAATTCTCATGCAAAACCCATTCTTTTCACCAATTTGCATAAAAGATAGTCTTAACGATCTTTTACTTTTTTTTTTTTTTTGGGTAAACTTTATTGAAGGTTACAGGGAATGCTCATTGTGAAAGAGCCTTGCAATCTCCCCCACCTCCCCTGCCCCTTTGCTCAGCAAAGGGAATTCCTCCCCTGGCTTCCCACAGAGCTGTTCTGAGAGAGCTTTTCTGGGGGAATCAGCCTCTCTTGACTCCAACAGCATATCACAGTACAGTACTTACTTCAGATAAATATGGTGTTTTCCCTAAAACAAGTCCTGGTGAATAGGATGGCCTCCACGTCAGTACACTCGTAATAAGTCAAATGGGGGTACTCCTTAAAGAATGCAGACAAATGTATGCAGGGAACAAAATCTTGCTCCAGTGGAATATAATGCATGGTTTAGAGCGCAGCTTTCCAGGGTATGTGATTCTGAGTCATTGTCTTTGAGCTATATATAACTCTGTCAATAGTAGATAGCTGATAATACAAATAATTCTTGCCTATATCTATGCAAATACTGTCAGGTGGAGGGTTCCTGATTCCTAAGGAGGGAAAAAAGCCAGTTTTACAGCCCTTTGTAGTCATTTCTGTACTCCTGTTTTTTGATTTCTTTGAACTGGTTGTCTTCGGTTCTGGTTGCCTCATTTAATGATCGTGTTAACTGAATTTTTGGCGTGTTCATTTTATTTTATATTTTTCAGCTTTACTGAGATATAATTGACAAAATTGTAAGATACTTAAAGTGTACAATGTGGTGATGATGTGTTCGTTTTATAGCTGCGTGAGAGTCATGATTTTACTTTTGAAAATTATATTTCTAATGTGTCAGTCAGAGTTCTGGGACAGGAAATGGAAGAACACTCAAAGGGGAAGTTGAACAGTCTTTGGAAGGGACTATTTAGAGATGTAGGTGGAAGTATGCAGCTAGGGATGTGCAGCACCCCAATTAACAACAGAGGGAAACCGGTACCACCTCTAAGGCTCCCTGGGCAGAGGGTGGGGTCCCACTTAAGAGGGACACAAATCATGGCCTGGCAGGAAGGGGGCAGGAAAGTAACTTTCCTCTCCTTTGTCCTCTGAGCCCTGTGAAGCCAGGAGGTAATGGAGACAGATGGCATAGTCTAGCTTGTTTATTGCTTTTTCCACTCTTCAGTCAAATCAGCCCAACATGAATCATAAATTCTCAGTGAATTTAGAGGATCTGACCCAAGTATGCTATATGTAAAGATTTTTATTGAGTCTTAGAATATGACTATACTTTATATTTACAGTTAAATACGATAGCCCTAGTAAACTTCATATAAAAGATACCACCGTTTGATTACTTTCTTTTTTTTTTTTTTTTAATTGGGGAATCAGGGGAAGGGGAACAGAACAGTTGCTGTCCTTTTGTTCTTCAGTCTAGTTGTGGAGGACATCGCTTCACTGGCCCAAGCTGGCACCATCATTGTGCTCCTCCCGGGTGAGGCAGATCAGTCGCCGGCATCTGGACGGCCGCTCACTGCGGCTGCTGGCCGCTCACGCTGGCTGCTGGCTACATACGGTAGCCCATGGCAACCCANGCTCACGCTGGCTGCTGGCTACATACGGTAGCCCATGGCAACCCACTGCCACAGGGGCTGCAGCCTACGCCGACGCCGGCGACTAATGGCAGCCCAGCTCCAGGTCGAGCTGTTGTTCAGCATCTTAGCTGTGGAGGGCAGCGTCACTGGCCCTCATATGTGGGATCTGAATTGGGGCCCTCTGGCATCCCAAGCCAGTTCTTAACCATCGCACCACTCAGCCGGCCCTTGATTACTTTCTTTACATATCATGATCTCATGTCCATACTGCTCCCTGTAAGATATTTTTACCAAAGCCTTAACAGCCACCATGTTAACAGATACCTGGAAAAAAATCTAATATTTCTCCAGCTTCTGGGCTGTATGCCTTTCACCAAGAAGCAAAAAGTTGGTGTCATTTTATATGTGTTCTCATAGATTCCTTCTCCCTATATTGGGTGGAAGCTTGGTGAGTATACTTTTGTTTGGAGAAAAGAAAAAAACACGTTATAAAACAGTTGGATTGGTTTCTGGGAGAATGTACCTTGCTAAAATAAATCTCAAGGTTTCTGCTGGGCCTCTGTGATTCCACACAAGTTAATGTTTAGCTGAGCACCTCAACATGACTAGGTGCAAAGCAGCGGAGTTGCTAATAGAGGTTGAGGGAGCTGAATAATACTGCTGTGTTATTCTGTGCATAAGGGTGTGAGAACTGGAGCTCGGAGAGGTCTGGAAGGAAGAAGAAAGGAGGATGGCAACATGAAGGGAGGCTGGAACACAGCTGTGAAATTGGTTGAAGGTCTAGTTTAAGGATGTCTACTATTTAATTCCAAATTGTTTTGTCTCAAACTTTTGGTAAAGTTGGCTACAGGCCAAACTAATATGAGTGGTCCTGATAAAATCCTAATAAGGAAATAATAAAAACAGCAATAATGATAGAAAAAAAAATAGATGCCATTTATTGAGGAGGTCTAGTATGTGCTGGGCATTGTGTTCACACAGATAGCTATACTATCTATGTCACAGTCACCCAACAAGACAGATATTATCCTCCCTTTTTTAGGTATGGGACTGTGGCTCAGAGAGGGTAAGTAACTCACTCTAGGCCACATCGCCAGTACCTGGCTGAACCAGAATTTGAAACCAGAGCTCATGCTCTTTTCATTACACGACACTACTTCCCCATAACCCTCTCTGCACCATCCTGATAAAGCTGGACTGGAAAGGTCATTGACAAGAACCCCCCCTTCTCTCAGGCCGCTCATTTTACAGTCCAATGGCTGTACCCATCGGAAGTTTTTCCATGTGTGAGTCAGATCTGTCTTCCTAGTTTCCATGCACAAGTCCTCCGTCTGCTGTGGGGGTCACTAAGAATAAACGTAATCATTCTTTCACAGAGCATGCTCTCTGATATCTGAAGACATGTTATAACATTCTACCACGTTGGACCCTACAGTATAAGCTTTGTAAGAACAGGCATATCTGAAAGGGATCCTATCTAAATTGCATGCGACTTTATTCCCAACCACATAGGCCATTACTTAGTAATTACTTAGTACATTAGTAGGCATTCAACAAATATTCATAGAATGGATGAAGGCCAGTCAGATTGGGAAGGTAGAGAGTATGCTTGGTGAGGCAGCAAACATGAGACAACCTCCTCTGATACTTTCTCTACATATCATGATTTTATGTTCATACTGCTTCCTCTAAGATAGTTTTATCAAAGTCTTAACAACCACCATGTTAACAGATCCCTGAAAAAATGGTTAGAGGAACCGCTTTTAGGTAATATGCTAAGTAATGCTTCCACCCCACCCCTCCAACCACCTACCCTTGTTTCTAGGTGGTCAATGGTCTCTTTCAAGCTAAACTTGGGGGGCTGATATACCCTAAAAAGCAACTTTCATGTCATTATATATATATAATTGGGGAATTGGGGAAGGGGAACAGCTTTGGGGAATCATGGAAGGGGAACAGACAGGTAGACAAATTGCTATTTTTGTTCTTCAGTCTAGTTGTGGAGGATGTCGCTTCACTGGCCCATGTTGGTATTATCATTGTGCTCTTCCCGGGTGAGGCAATCAGTCGCCGGCCTCTGGAAGGCCGCTCACGCTGGCTGCCAGCCACTCACATAGTTCATGGCAGCCCACTGCAGCCCTACTGCAGCCTGCGCAGTTGCCGGTGACTCACAGTAGCCCAGCTCCAAGTCGAGCTGTTGTTCACCATCTTAGCTGTAAAGGACGCAGCGTCACTGGCCCTCAATGTGGGATCTGAACCGCAGCCCTGCTGCTCAGAGCTGGTGCTCCCAAGCGAGCTCTTAACTAGCTGAGCCACTCGGCTGGCCCTATACATATATTTTTATACAACCTGATCACCATGAAGAAATGAATTGTCATTCTATATGAGCAATTGCTGGGTATATCTATCTATATTATATATCTATATCTACCTGTCTATCTATAGGCATAAATGGAGCCATTTTAAAATGGAGTCCCAGCAGCCATTCCAGAGGAACTGCATTGTACCTCTTACTCCTTGAACCTTAGGAATGGTTGAACTGGGCAAATAACGTTTAGACTGGGCAGCATTGTTTTCCAAACAACTGTTTGGAAAGCTAACAGGAAAGCCAACTTCCTGTCTGTTAAGGGCTGATAATTAAAGACATTGTTTAGAATCCATAACGAGCCATGCATAGTTAAAAAATAGCCTATTAGTACCCATAGAAACTCCTTCCTCCTATTCATGTATTTCCCTTCCTTTTTTCATAAAAACCTCTTGCCTTCGCCCAATAATCAGAACACTATTTGGGTTTCTGCCTGAATCAGTACTTCCCAAATAGCTATTCTTGATGATCTCAAATAAAAGCTTGTTGCTTCTCTGGCTTTTAATTTTCAGGTTGAAAGTATATATATACATAAACACACCCATGGAAAGGTAAGTGTGTTGCATCTAAGATATACCAAAGCACTGGGAGGATGTATATATGGGGAAGCAGCCGTGGAGAGAAGGCACAGCAGTGATTTTTCACTGTAGATGGCACCCTTTACAGCTCTGTCTATGCAATTAAACCTATAGTATTAGAAACTGTCTAGGCTTATATTCACTATTTAGAAAGCTGGAAAGGGTGTGGCAACCAAGCAGTCACCATAAATACAAAGGCTGCAGTTAGAGATGGGCAGTCGGAGCGCAGGGACTCTTTAAATATTGAATCCATTGCTGACTCTGCCAAGAATGCCCGCAGATAACGATTCAAGTTGCCTGCCAATTATCCTCTGGGACTGCTGTCACTGATATTATTTAGGGCCACACTCCTCAGTGTTCACCATTTGTTATTTACGTACCGCTGCTCGGCAGGATCAGCTCCTGAAGCTCTCTGGGTCTCAGTGTCTTCACCTCGTAAACGTGGGGCTAGCATTCCAGGGGAGAGTGTCTGGAACGCGCTCGCAGCGGGACACTGCGGCGTGTGGAAGCGGAGCCCAGGCCCGTCCTAGAGCCTTTCGGCTGAGGCCCGGAGGGCAGAGGAAGCCCGGGAGGTCGGATCTGTTGCAAAAGGGCGTGGGAAGGGCGAGCACCACGCCGCCAGCGCGACTCAGCGAGCCGGATCGCCGCGGGCCCCGCAGGCTCTCCCGCCGGCGGCTGGGACCGGCCCGGGACTGGGGAGGCGCTCCCCCCGCGGCTCGGCCGCCTCGCGCGCCCCGCAGCCTCCTGCCACCAGACCAGCGCTCTCCGGGTTCCGCCCGGAGGCGCGGGGACTTGACTTTGGCTCCGGGCCGGCCCCCGCGTGCTCCCCGCCTCCTCCCTCCCTCCCTCCGCCCCTGGATCCCGCCCAGCGGCGCCGGGGGCCGGGCTCCGGCGAGAGGGGCGGCGGCCGCGGCGGTGACAGTCGCGGACGGACTCCCCGCCCCCGCGGCTCGCCACGTCCCTCACGTACCGCCCGGCCGCCGCGCGGAGCAGCCACCTGGCACGCGGGGCTCCGGCTCCTCCGGCGGGGCTCGGCATGAGGCTGGCACGGCTGCTGCGCGGAGCCGCCTCGGCCGGCCGCTCCAGCGCCAGCCGCAGCCTCGGCTCGCACTCGGGCTCCGGGCCGGCGCCCGAACGCGGCATTCCGGGCCAAGTGGACTTCTACGCGCGCTTCTCGCCGTCCCCGCTCTCCATGAAGCAGTTCCTGGACTTCGGTGAGCGCGGCCCGGGCCTCGGGCCTTTGTGCGCGGCCCCTCTCGCCTCTGCGCACCCCTTCTCTTCAACGCCCCCCCCCACCCCCTTCCCGCCGCAGCGCCTTCGCTGCTTCCTTCTTCCCTCTCGGGCTGACTGATGCCTGTGCTCAGGTGCAGGAGCCGGCGGGCCGGGTCTATCACTGGCGGCGTATGCCCGTTTTACTGTGTATTGTTGAAAAACAAACCAGGAGGGCCGCGGACGGAAAGACTGCCCGCCTTGCAGCGCACGTGCCCGTCCCGGCCGGCGGCCAGGCCACTTCGCAACAGCCGCGCTTGTGGGAGATGCAGTGTGTGGACCCCTCCCGAGTCGCGTGGGGATTCTGCAAAGTAATGATAAATGCCCGGTTTTGTATGATGATTGCATAAAATTGGCGTGACGATAAGGGGAAGCAGGTTATCACTGGCCCAGCGTTTCATAGAATGTTTTTCGTGTCACTGGCTGGAGTGTTTCCACCAATAGCACATTGATTTCATCATCAGCTAAATAAGTCTTGAGCCCTTGTCAAGTGCATGAGTACAAGATGCGGGGGTTTACCACATTTCACCCCTTAGAAGGGACTGTCCACTTTTCTCTTTCTCTGATGGGTGCTAACTGGTTTTCTCTAGAAAGGAGGCAATACATTGCCGAGGAATTGCAAAGGTAGACTTTTAACTTTGACTTCTCATGTGGGGGCACTGAGGAGAAAAGGGGAAACTCTAATAAAGTCATATAACATTTGAGTAGGAAAAGTTATTTTCTACATTGTGAGTGCTGTTAGGTCACTAACGGATCACTACTGGGCTTGAAAGGTACCAGCAAGGTTGGCAACTCTGTCTTACAATTATGGTTTTACAGTGGCAAATTTTTTTTTGGCTCAAAGCCTCCGTTTTTTTTTTTTTTTAAGATTTTTATTGGGGAATTGGGGGATGGGAACAGCACTGGGGAATTGGGGGAAGGGGAATAGACAAGTTGCTGTCCTTTTGTTCTTCAGTCTAGTTGTGGAAGACGTTGCTTCACTGGCCCAAGTTGGCACCATCATTGCGCTCTTCCCTGGGGAGACAGATCAGTTGCTTCTGGATCGCCGGTCACAGCGGCTGCTGGCTGCTCACGCTGGCTGCTGGCTACACACGGTAGCCCATGGCAACCCACTGCAGCCTACGCGGTGGTCGGCAACTCATGGCAGCCCAGCTCCAGGTTGAGCTGTTGTTCAGCATCTTAGCTGTAGAGGGCAGTGTCACTGGCCCTCATATGTGGGCTCTGAACCGGGGCCCTCTGGCATCCCAAGCCAACTCTTAACCAACACTCCATTCCGCCGGCCCAAGCCTTCGGTTTCGGTTTTTGTTTTTGCTGTAAAATGACTGAAGTGATTAAGGGATGAATTTGGCCTTGTTCACAAGTATGTCATTCAACTTTCACAGGAAAATGTTTTCTTTCAATGCCGTAATTCCTGCTATTGACAATCTGATTTTTGCCAAGGTTGTCTCTTGCTCAAGCAGCAAGATTAAATTGGTGAATTTAAAATGCATTGTTGAAATAATATGACCTTTTACTTTAACTTTAAATGGAACTGCTCGCCAAATGATGTTCTACAGCTGTTCTGCTTAGCATCCTCATATAGGAGTGGAGGAAGGAGTAGGCTGCCTTCCAGGAATCGGAAGATTAAATAGGACCTCCTGGGGAGATGCTGGAAGATGGTTGCTGAATAAGCATTGATATTTTTTGCTTTCAGTTGCCTGAAAGCCCTCCTCTACAATTTATTCTTTGCTTACGGTAATTAGTATAGTGGTTCCCATGCACTTGTCAAATTTCTGTTTCTTAGACAGGCATTCACTTCTTACAAACTTAGAGTTAGGAAACATGTTCTAAATGATAATAGCAACAGGTTATATAGGATAGGCTTTGCAGGCCCTACTGTTAATTAGACTCTGCACCTTGCTCAGACTTGCTCAGGTTGACTTAGTTCTAAAACAAATCACACTAAGGATGCAAGTAATGGAGACGGGAAAGTATCATCATCGCTCTCCAAAGCAATATTGGAATGTTGAATTGGTAGGTCATTCAGGAGGCCTCACAACCCTAGAGACCGGGTTATCTCACTCTTTGCCTCCTCTTTCTTACCCTGTCATTATGGTGATGCTACTATTCCTCTGATGTTTCAGGCCAAACCCTCTGTGTTTCTCCCTGCCTCTTGGCTTCTGCTGCCTTATGGCTTCCACTAACTGCTTTTCCCACCGTGTCTGGTTTCAGGATCTGTGAATGCTTGTGAAAAGACCTCATTTATGTTTCTGCGGCAAGAGTTGCCTGTTAGATTGGCAAATATAATGAAAGAAATAAGTCTTCTTCCAGATAACCTTCTCAGGACGCCATCAGTTCAATTGGTACAAAGCTGGTAAGATTCCTGTCTTGTGTTTACAATTTACTGAAGCTTAAAGCAAATACTTTTTTACTCTTCAGTTGAATTTTAAGATAGTAGCAGCATTCCTCCTCCTTTTGGGGGGTATGTCTGGGCTTATCCACTCCTTGGTTTTAGAAAAAAATCCAAACTGCACAGAAATGCAGACACTGAATTTAAGATTTATGAGTATGTTATGAAATCTGCAGAGATGTTATGTTCTAATGTAATAATATCAACCATTTGTTGAAGTGAGGGATTATATACATTACCTTTAATCCTTTCAACAACTCTGCCCAGTAGGTATTATTATCTCTATTTTACAGATGAAAAAACTGAGGCACCTACAGGTTGTTCTTTGCCTAAGGCAGTACCACTTGTAGTGGAGCCAGGATTCAAGCCCAGATTTGTTTGTTTCTACTGTACCATGCTATAGTCAGAATGATGAAATGTATTGAAGGATGTATATATTTTTGTTTTGTTTTGTTTTTAAAGATTTTATTGGGAAATTGGGGGAGGGGAACAGCGTTGGGGAATTGGGGAAGGGGAACAGACAAGTTGCTGTCCTTTTGTTCTTTAGTTTAGTTGTGGAGGACGTCGCTTCACTGGCCCATGTTGGTATTACCATTGATCTTCCTGAATGAGGCAGATTGGTCGCCGGCCTCTGGACGGCCGTTCATGGTGGCTTTTGGCAGCTCACGCCGGCTGCCAGCCACTCATGGTAGCTTATGGCAGCCCACTGCAGCAGAGGCTGCAGCCTATGCTGTTGCCAGCAACTCACGACAGCCCAGTTCCAGGTTGAGCTGCTGTTCACCATCTTAGCTGTAGAGGGCGCAGCGTCACTGGCCCTCATGTGGGATCTGAACTGGGGCCCTGCTGCTCAGAGCTGGCGCTCCCAAGCCAACTGTTAACCAATGCGCCACTCGGCCGGCCCGTATATTTTTTTATAAGCTGAATTTATGTTATTGAAGTATATATTTATAAGTCACAAAAGTTAAAATCTTTATCATTTTAAAACAGTTAGAAGTTACTGGAATCATGTAAATCTCTCTTCCAAAAAATGACAATACAGTATGAAGGTTATGCACACAAATGTGGCCGCCTTTATGTAGCCTTTCTTGCTAATGTTATTAATTTAAAAGTATTAATCTCTTAATCACTGTATATTTCAAACAGAAGAGTTTATTTGCCACAATTCAGTCTTAGATGGAAAAAATTTAGCTGCAAGACATTTCCCAATTATGATTCATGAAGACAGATATCACTTTCCTTTTTTAGGCATCATAGTTTGTGCGAGAAGCTGATCTAACATCAGTTTTAAAAAGTAAGCGAAAGAAGTATGACTGCTGCATACCATTGACCCTTGAACAACATGGGTTTGAACTGCACAGGTCCATTTACTTGTGGATTTTTTTCAGTAAATACAGTAAATGTATTTTCCTTCTTTCTTAATTACATTTTTCTTTTCTCTGACTTACTTAATTATAAGACTATATTATATAATTCATATAACATGCAAAATATGTGTTAATCAACTGCTTATGTTACCTGTAAGGTTTCCAGTCAATAGTAGGCTATTAGTAGTTAAGTTTTTGGGGAGTCAGAAGTTACACATGGATTTTTGAATGGGGTGTATGGGCCGGGAGTCAGCACCCCGAACCCCCGAGTTGTTCCAGGGCCAACTGTGTGTGATAATCAGGTGCTATCTAGTCCAAGTATGGAACAATTGTAATTGTGGTTTAAGTACGAGGCATTTGTTTAGGAACTATGATGGCATATAAAGGAGAACAAGATAATTTTTCCTGGAAGCTTATTCCTGTATATCTTTTAAATTCTTCATTAAAAATAGCATATGCTGCATTTTGGAATCTTATCTGTGCCTAACACGTTGTAAGTATTCAAATCTCTCTTGGATAAAGAGCATAGTTTTTCTTGCTAATGAAAAAAAGTTAAGGGTTAAAGCAAAACAGTGGATATCAGAATCACTTGACTTTGGAATGCAGACAGCCATGTTGCTAGTCAGGAAGTTTTCCAAACCCGCCTATGGACTGACAGATTTTGAAAACACCTTCATTGCCCCTGGATGTGTGCTGAGTTAGGGCAGTTACGCAGAACTCATACACTCTTGAAGGTCACTGAATAGCAGCAAGGAATAGCAGCAAGGTGTTTTCAGCTCTGGCCCTGCACTGCCATTGTGCTTGGTAGCATGACCTTGAGCAAGTCATTTGGCTGTCCTCATTTTGTTCCTTCCTTAACAGCTGATGTTGCTACCTTGAATTGTTAAACAAATTAAAAATCTACATTTTCATGACTTTGCTTTTTTCTGTTCAGTCCTGTTTAAAAGAACTATGTGGTAGATTGTAGGCTTTCAACAAATCTCTGTTGATTGGACATAAACATCTAAAATTAAGATTTTACAGCACAGACATTTAAGTTAGACTCTTACACCAAGGTAGGCTGGGGGTCCACATTTTACTGAGACTAAGACAAGTCATTTGCCCATGATCACATAGTATTGGTGACAGACTCATTTCTTGCAGCAATCAGTATTTCTACTGTAATGTACAGTGGCAAATTTAAGAAGTTCAAAAACTATTTTAGACTGTAGGAATTAAAAAAAATAAAAGCGGTAGAAAATCTTAAAATTCTTCAGTCAGATTTAGCCAATGTTTTTAGGAGAAAACGTACACTATCTACTACTTTGTGCCAGGCAATGTGCTCAAATGTGCATGGGTATAAAAATCCCACTTCAACGGTAATTGATGGCACTAGCCTAAATGAAAAATTAAGAAATGTCAAAAATATCTTTTGAGCATTTTCACAATGATGAACTTTCACAATGTAAAAGAACAAGGTTACCCTATTGATTTGCATTTTAGGTATATCCAGAGCCTTCAGGAGCTTCTTGATTTTAAGGACAAAAGTGCTGAAGATGCTAAAACTATTTATGAGTAAGTACACTATTTTGACCCTATCCTGAACACAGTTTTTGTACCCTTTAAACATCATGTAAATATATAAATGCATTGAGCTTAGACCTTTTGTTGGGTCACTTTAGGGAAATTGATTAACTTACTTTTGTTGTAGTTTCCTACTACTTTAGAACATGTTGTAGCATATTTGTCTATAGCTGCGCATACAGGCAAGGCGGGTAACATAAATCAGTAAATCGGGCTTCATGTTCGTCTGAACTCCAGTGTAAGAAAAGACACAGCTCCAGTGTGATGATCAGTGGAAATCTAAATGTAGCCTCACGGCCACCTGGATGAAAGGGGACTGGTGAGACTTACTGCAGAGAGTGCGTGCATCTAAAGGACAGCCACCCTCAGCTCCGGCTGATCATTTCTTGTATTTTTTTTTTAAGATTTTTTATTGGGGAATTGGGGGAGGGGAACAGCGTTGGGGAATC